CCCCAGTTTTGCATCCCATTCTGATCCTGATTCCTCTGCAGCCCAGCCAGCAGTCCTCGAGAACAAGCACCCAACGCAGGCATCCTTCTTGTGTCCAGCCAAGGCCGCCCTTGCATTTCACACCTCTCTTGGCTCTGCCATAAACTAGAATCGGAAGAGTTGTGCTGTTGGGAGTGGGACCGCGGGAGTCTTTTCAGAGGGTCCCCTGCTTAAGTGCCACGCCCCGCTCTAGAGCAAGGCAAGGTGCTGTTTAGCCTGGCGCATGTGAGCTTCCCATGGCCCTCCTGCCTGCCCTAAATCTTCACAGCCCCCGTCGAGCAGCTCCGCCCTTTTCTCCCACATGAGTTAAGGACTCTTCAGCCCCTCTTCCCAGTGCAGCCAGCCGGAAAGGCCTTGGCTTCCCTTTATAGCCCCACCCATAAGCTGCACACGCAAAATGGGTGTGAGTAGCTGAGCTACACAAGGGGGAGAAGGTTAAGCCACGTATGCTCTGGAAACTTTGTGCCCCCCCTCTGTCTGCACTGATGCCTCCCTTGACCTTTGTCCCTCACAGGTCCCATCCTCCTCACATGGTCCTCAGTCCCAGCAAGGACAGGCTCACAGGATGTGACAAGCCGCAAGGGTTTCTTACATCAGATAGTCTATTGCATCATCTGAACCCTGTTGTGGCATTTCAGCTTGACATGATTGGTTTTTAGGAACCATGATAAGCAAAAGTGGCCTGTCCCATGGGTTTCCATGACTCAGCAAGGTGTCTCTTCTGTGCTTTCCATGACTCAGCACCTGACATGGTGATCTTCATGGTTCTGGTACATGCGTGGCACAGAGGAAGGAGTGGCAGCTGCGGGAGCTGCTCCAGCCATGCAGTATGGGATTGAATTTCAGGTGTGATGGCTGATGGGACATGTGCCAACAGTAGGGCTGAGTGAGGAAGGTGGAAACCACGCTAGCATAGAAATCACTGTGGATACCAGGCAGGGTTGCTTGTGGTGATGTGGGAACCTGGTCTTTTTATAAGCATGTTCAGAGTTGTGTACGAGGGGGTGGTATCCCCCTCCACCCTCCCCCATAACATTCCTATAAAGCTAGAAAAAAACCAAGGTAGCTGCACCGGCCATTAAAAAAGCCAACATCCATGTAAGAATGATATCTTCATTAGGCCAGCTCAGAGATCACAAAAAGCTTGCTTGGTTTTTTTGTTTTTCATTTTCCTCCTCCTGACCTGTAAACCAGCATCAGCTGTGGAAGAGTAGCTGGCCCAAGATCACCCATCCTGCTTCATGGCCCAAGCAGGGGCCACTCAATAGCAAGGCTCATCAGTTCAGGTGCAATACTTTTAACCGTGACGCGACATGTTCTTGCAGTTGCCATCTTGTACAATAGCTGCAGCAGGAGAAGGAAAGTGCAAACCTCTGAAACCCTGTTCTCAATCGCTGCAAATGTTATCTTAGGCACCCCAACGTATCTCCTCAGCCAGAAGGACTAGAAACTTGTTCTTTGCCAAACAGAGAAGCTGAATTCTGCACATAATTCCACATTCTCGCTTATATTGTCCCATCAGTATGCATAGTGTAGTACAGAGTATAGTTCCCTGCCCCAAAAGGCTTACAGAAGGAGCTGGTACTTCAGATGTTTTGGCCCACAACTCCCATCATCCTTCAGCATTGGCTATAGCCTGGGAGTCAGTGTGGCCTGGTGGTTGGATTGCTGGACTGGAGAGATCCGGATTCTAGTCTCACTCAACCAGGAAGCTCACAGGGAGGCTCTGGGCCGGTTACAGACTCATCCTAACCTACCTCACAAGGTTGTTGTGAGGATAAAATGGCGTGGAGGGAACCATGCAAGCTACTCTGGGTTCCTTGCAAGAGGAAAAAAGGTAGGCTATACATGCAATGTAACAATAACAGTATTATTAACAATATTGTAATTATTGTAATTACTAATATTAATAAATATTAATAAAACATATTATCTGGAAGGTACCAGTTTGGGAAAGACTGCTACTGCAGATATAGGACTGAAGTCACGTACAGTCACTATCCTGAATATTCATATGCTTACTATTCAATTTTAATGTAATAGTAATTTAAATTTAAATTTCTAATGATATTTTAGGGGTGCCACTCCCCACCCTTTCTTAGCTGAACTCCTGCATTTTTTAAAGCAGCAAAATGCCAGGCAGGCATTCAAAAGGTGGTGCTTTCCTCCACCCTAGCATCTTCCTGCCATGAAAACCTGCAGGGTAAGTTTTCAGTATGTTGTTTTGCAGCCCTCCTCCAACTAGAAATAAAGAAATAAACTTGCCAGCCTGCTCCTTTAATTATCCCCTTTTGTCCTAGACAAACTTTTTTAATGTCTCTCCCATGCTGAACAAAAGAGGGATTGGTTTTGGGAAACCCCTTGGTCATAACTATGAAGAAACTCAGGTTACAAAGAACCCTATTTAAGAAGGCCAAGGCTGCTATTACAAAGCAGACAGGCCCACAAATGTGTTTAAGGTTGGCCTTTATTAGCGTTGTGTCCACCAATTTCCTGAACACTTCCTAGAAAGAAATTTGCTATCCCCTCAAGGGCTCTAATTATTAATTTAATGGAGTCTGTCTTTCAATCCTTGCAACACTTTGGTCTCTGAGGAAACGGGAAACAATTGCCCCGTAAAACTTGCCAGAATTGTGGGGGTTCTTTTCGAGCTCTTGGGGGGGGGGGGCGGCGTTGAGTTGTTTCTTTAGGTTAGTAAGATCATAATTGCCTTGTGACTGAACCCAGGGTTAGCCAAGCCCAAAGAATACCCTTCTTGTTAGCACTTAGCTCTTCAGAGGGCTGGTTTCAGACTTGCTGCAGAGACCTCATTCTGGACTTCCAGCAAAATGCAGGCCCGAAAAAAGAAGCCCTCGTGAGTCCTGGAAAAGAGCTGTGGGTTTGCCCCTTGTTCAGAGCAGTGGCTTTTGCAAAAGGACTATAGAAACCATTAAAGCGCTCTCCAGTTCCCAGGTGCCTGTAATGAGGGAACTGACTAATTTCCATGTTTAATTTGGGAGTGCAAGCTGGGGGAGCTTTTTGTGGCTTCTGGAAGGCTGCCTGGCCCTGGAAGATACTCAGCCAGCCCCTCTTCGCCTCCTGATAGAAACCAATCTTCCCGTGGTGGCCAAGAGTTCCTAGCCAAAAGTCCCCCGTCCCCCTCCCGCCACCAGCTCACATTTATTTTGTGAGCCAGCAGGGGGAATTGCTGGCATGAAAACGCGTGCTATATTTCTGAAAAATTAGAGCACACTTTCCCCACCCTGCACTCCTGGCAGAGCTTCTGCCGTTTTAATAGCTATCTGTGCAGCAAGCAAACATTCAACAGAAGAAGCCTTGGATATTTTCTTTTGTCTGTTATACAGCTGCTATAAATGCAGGAGCCAAAATACTGGGGGAGGAGGGAAAGCAGGAGGCGGTTGGGAAGCGGTGACAATTGCAATCATAACTGGTACTTTTTATGTCCAAAAATTATGGTGCATGGCCCAGCAGGTGGAGGTTATCACTTTTACTTCTGACAGAGACTCTGCTCGTTAAAAGATGCAAGAGAGAAATCCCACGGGTGTAGCTTCATTCATGAAGGCATCCCCATGCCAGGAAAAGCTGCACTTCTAAATCTCCTCCTATCAAGTGGTTAAAATGCAGAGCTTGGGATGGGGGCAAGGGGGCAGGGGACCAGTTTGCTAATCCTACTTGAAGCTCCTCTCAGTTGCGCAAAAACTGACTGTGGTTACACAGGAATTGAAGGGAGCATTGAAATATGCAGGTGGGACCACCTGCATTCTGAGGTGGTACAGTCCTGTGTGGCCTGTACCACTTGCATTCTCTGAATGAGGATGGCCTGATGGAAAAGAGGACAGCACTTGTGCACTTGGAATTAATGTGTGGAAGAGGGGGTTTCGGCAGGGGTACCCCGTCTTCTGCATCTGACTGCTCCAGCGCTCAGTGGCAAACAGAAGGAGCT